AACGGCCATTAGAATGATAATTAATGTACTAAAATTAGGTATGCATAAAGAAAAAGCCCGCGGAATCACCTGTGGTGCAAACACCCTACGTTAAGGCGAGAAACGACACACTCTCTAAGTCATCACTAGTTTTTTGGCCTAGTAGGGCCGGTGGGAGGCTGGAGATTTGATCTACGCAGGTCTTATGAGGATGAGCTATCCTGTAGTAGTGAGGAACGGCTAGATGTAGCGCAAATGATAACAGTGTTGCCGGATTTCCCTATGACAGCCGAGAAAATTAGGTTATGTTTTTTTTTTGTTGTATTTTATTTGAATTTGAAAGTATATGGCGCGAATATTTTTGCGTATTTCAAATTTTAACGATATTACTGTTTTCTGTTTCTGCGACCTGTAGGTTTTTGTTTCTTAATAATAATTATGTAGGTATTAATATTATCCTAACAAATACTATCGATAGTTCGTGATGTGGTGTTCTAGAGTTAATTAGTTATACAATAATAGTTATTTTAATAAATTTATTGTGATTGGGAATTAGGAAATAATGGACAGTTGACCAATTAAGTAATAGTGCTACCTGTGAATTTTGTGCTAAGGTTTTTTCTAAAAAATACAACCTCAACAGACACTTGAAAAACAGTAATAATTTCAAAAATTGTGAGGAAATTACTTGGAAGAAGTCACAGTATTTTATATTAGTTGACGTTAATTCAAAAGTCTGAGAAACAATTGCTTCCCTGGAGAAAGAGCAATCCCTTCTTTTACAGTTCCGGAATATGCTTTTGACGATGCTATTTGTAGAAATGTATGGATGATTGCCAAGTGTCATTTACAACAAACCAGGAGTTGAGAAGGCAATTAACAACTAAGCATGGTTTCGAAATAGTGAAACACTCAATAAAGTTTCATAGATATAGTTAAAACAATTAGAAGTAGGTACCTGTACTTCTTAATAATTACAATGACTCATCAAGTAAAACATATACCTCTACTTATTATTTATTGTTAAAGAGTACCTACCTATTGTAATTTATCATTATTTGTTGAATCCATATGTTGTAACTGTAACAAATGTATAAAATGCCAATTGAAATTGAAAATAGACATTTTGAAATTAAGCATTTTTCATGTTTTTATTCAATAATAAGAGGAGAAAAAGAAATACCCATCATGAAGAGCTTTATTATTAATATTATATTACTAGAATCTATGAAGATGAATACATCATACATTCATACCTATATCTATGAAAAGAACTCTGATATTTGAGAAAAGGGTCCATTATCTCAAGTAAGATAGACCTAACCAAACCACAGCCACCTAGCTAGCAAAAAAAAGGCTAAAAGTTTTGGATTTTAATCAAAAAACAAAACCATGTGAACTCACTAGTTTTCACATAAGAATATGGGTTTCTTTCATCCTTTCATATAAATCATATACATATGTATATTTCTCAAGTATCTTATGTTGCCAAATAGCATGTAATTAATATTTTCTATTTTTAAAGTAAATTATTATTTAACCAATCAAATAAGTTAAAATTTTCCATTTTCAACGTAAACAAAACAACACACAATACTTGAATAATATAGAAATAGAATTCTATTTTCTATTTTAAAATTTTTAAATACCCGCCAGCTGGAGAGGGAATGGCAACGCTGTACTCATTTGCGCTACATTTAGCCGCTCCTGTAGTAATGTGTATCATCCTTGACAAGACCCAACCAGCAAGGTGCAAGCTTCCTAAAGTTATTAGGTTGCCTGGTAATGACATGAGTAACTTGATGACGCATCTGGGGTGCCCTATGAAGATTTACATTGTGTTGATGTGATAAAGCTATCAGGCAACCTACCTCTCTCAAATAACCTTGAGCAAGGTGCTTAGAGAAATACAAGGATAAGGACTGCTTATCAGCCTCGTTCTTGGTAATCGCGGTATTATGGTGTAGCACCATTGCTAATCAACAACTGTTGTTGATTGGTGATCTCCATGCCATGTAAATATATACCTACGTCTTAAGGGCGAATTCTCATGAACGTAAGTTGACATTTCTGGCGTAATCACGTGATAAAATGGTTGGGTTTTATTGGCAAAATATTTGACATGTTGGATATTTTACCAATCAAATTACATCATATTATCACGTGATTACGCCAGAAATGTCAACTTACGCTCATGAGAATTCGCCCTAAGGCCGGCTTCTCATGAGCGTAAACTGAATACGTGAATTTTGGCGTAACATTTACATGGAATGGAGAATTTACGCCGCCGCGTATGTCAAAATTATATTTTTTTCCTAAATTTTGAAATATTTCTTTGAATTTTGATTGTACAAATTTATATTTGTTTTTGTTTTAATTCCAAATAGCTACAAAATATGGACATTAAATCACAAAAATCAAGAAAACGAAACGGTTGCAGCTTTAACCTCTAAAAACGCTAAATTTTCACGCGAAAAGTTGAACATTACTCATTTTTTGGCGTATCTGCGGCAGAGTGTCAACGTATCCAATATGGCGAGACTTTGGCCAATCAGAATTCTGCATTCAGGTACGCTGTCACGCTATAAATGTCAAATTACGCTCTAAGATGTGGACCATGGGTGGATAGACCTACAGTGGCTAAATAAACCTTTACATACAGTGGCGACATAAGAGGTCCCGCCGCCATCTTGTTCCCAACCTCTTGTTACTTTTAAATATTAATATATAGGATTTAAATGGACATCTATCATAAAAAATTGAAATCGACGTATTTGATGACCATTATTATGTCCATCAAATACGTTGTTTTCCATGATTTATGATGGATGTTCACCTAAATCCCATATATTCATATTTAAAAGTAACAAGGGGTTGGGAACAAGATGGCGGTGTTTTCAATGTAAATATATGGGATTTTAGAACCAATCAAAAATGAGACAGCAATTGTCGCCACTGTGGGTTATAGAGTCACTGTAGATAGACCTAGTAGAATCAGTTTATCTAAAGTTTATAAGTTCTCGTTACCTACAGTCTACGACAGACGACAGCCCATCAAGTAGGTAAACTGGGATTGTCTCTGGTACATCTTTTGAGTATATAATACAGGGTGATTTACGTAGTCCCCGTGCATAAGCAGGTAGATTTAGGTGGTATTAATGCTAATCCACCTGCAAACTGAACAATTTCTAATGCACGGTCTACGTAAATCAGGCTGTATACAAGGGAAAACAACTTTCGGGATTCAAATTCATAAAATATGATAATATATACAAAACACAACTTTTTATTTAGTTTTTACACTTTTCCGAACTTTCCGGCTCTCCGTTGTTTATATTTTTTTCTTCAAACCGCTCGACGTAACCTTATTGCCGATGCGGTTAGAGAAATGACATACCGTTTTCTAACCCGGTTACAAAAGTGACATGTTGCGGCTTGTTAAACCGGAGCCACGTGAAAAGGGCTATTGGGTCCTACTTTGGGTAAGGAGCCCTTCAAGTATAGACCACGAGTCGCACTGGTTCAGAAGCTCTCCCCCCCCAGAATCGTTCTATGTACTATAGATCCGCCACTACCTAGACGTGTCCTGAGGATGACTTAATATAGGTCGAAACGTCGACATATAAGTAAACAGGTTTCTGTTTTTATCTTGACCCCATCCAACAATTTTCCTACATTGAAAACATTGGGTCTCAAAATAATCATTCAAAAATATTATTTAATTTTGATTAACAAAATAGGTAAAGAGGAAGATGCAAACGAGATGTAACGAAGTGTTGTTTTAATTTAAATGTAGTAAAACCAAGTAACTATGCATAAAGCAAAAACCAGCGGTGTCATGACCTGTGGTACCATCACCCTACGTCAAGGCGAGAAACGACACGCTGTGTACGTCATCATTGGTGCTTTGGCATGGTGGGGGGCTTGAGATTTGAACTACATAGGCCTTACGAGGATAGGCCATCCTGTAGTAGTAGTATCCTTGACGGAAACATCGAAACATCGGAAAGCGCCGAGAATCAAATACACAGATAGCGTATTTCATTGGTAGAGCAAGTGCAACACTAGTGCAATAATCGTGATCCATTGGCAGAGACCGCGCTGCATGAAATGTCATTGGGTTATTGGTAAATAACTTTTCACTCGAGTTATGTAAAGTACGCATTTCTGAATCCTAAATTACTACCTCACTGGTACTGGCACTTGTGACCCTATAGTCTATGCGAATGTCGAACACAAGAGTTGTTTTCAGGGGTAACTTCACTTCAAATGACACCGAACAAAAAGCTCCAACTGCTACTGTCTCTTAAAAAACCCGGCTCAGGTTCTGCTTGTTTATTTTGTTCAGAGCTCAGAGCAGATCTTCCTGCTATCGACCGTTCGTTTTTACTTTGGCAATGAAGACCTGGGCCGAGTTCAGAAATACGCACAGGGTGCGAGTGCGATTTTATGGGTGTGCCTGAATTGACAATTGGCCATTGGGCTCATAGCACCGTCTACAATTTTTGAACAGCTAGGGCGTCGCACCGGTGTCACACTCACACTGGGTGTGACATTCCTGAACTCGCCCCAGCGTAGTTTGTGAAGATCAGATTGTCCGAAACTGTTTAGTTCATGTTCAACTTGCACTTACTTTCGAGGAGGACACTCCAACTTTGTATCATCAGATTTGCTATTTCGCTTAAGCAGTTATTAACTGAACTGAAAAATTAGTAACCTATAATCGGTCAAAATTCAACTATTTCAAGTGCGTTTTTTTTTTCTTTTGTAATTTCCGTAGAAACTAAAATTATTATCAAGTGTGTTCTTTGTACTTGCTCTACCTGCTCGAAAAATCAGAAAGATATGCTTGAAGCTGCTATTTACGAGCTTTTAATAGGGACAAGAGAACGCCAATCTACTCTGGAGATCTGCTTGAAGCAAGAAAAGCAGTACAAATGAACACTCTAATTGTTTGGATGAAAACGCCTATTGTAACTGTCACTTATCAAAGTTGTCATAGTCATATTATTTTCCCGCTCAAAAATATGGCTCTTTGTTGTCATGTGTTGTGTATTAATTTGTTGTAAATATTAAAATTGTTTAAACAAACTTGTTAATACTTGTCGGTTATCGGCATTAGTGCATTTTCAATGGTAGATTAGCACCTTATCATAAACAATAATTAAATAGGTAAGCAAAAAAAATGTATCTATAGGTAGGTATACTGATCCCGGTACATGCTGGGTAATAATCAACTCATAACTACAAATTATTTTGTGGAAGTGCAATACTCTGGTGCAAGGTAAAATACATGTAAAAAAAATTGGTGAAAAAATCAATGTAGAAGTTTTTTCCTTTTGCTAGTACTTGTATTTGCAAATGCGTAATTTGTAGATTTGGAAACATTTCATAATTCTCGTACATTCTTTCTGCGTTTCTTTCATCTTGTTTGCAAGAGATCAAATCAAATATAGCTTTATTGTCCATAGAAGGTATATAAGAAAGCTCTGCTTTTGCCAAGGCTTTTGCTGATTTTGTCATTTTCTTCACAGATACAAAGTCCTTTTCTAACAAATTGTTCCTTTATGACAAAAACTGTCCAAATAAACTGAACTTTTTGGAGATTGTAGTCCTCCAAAAGGATAAGAATCTCTGAAAATCTCAGCTTTCTATCTATTCTTTATCATGGGAAAATGTAGCTATTTTTTTTAGTAGCATGGTAGGTAGGTAGGAAGGAATGTAAAATTTAATTTCAACAGCTTATGATTACTGAAAAAAAAAATTAGTTTGAGTAAATAACACAGTCTAAACTTTTATACTTCAGAGTAGTTTAAAAATTATATATTAGGATACTTAATCCATAATAGTACTCAGTCCTTTAAAATTTATTTTATGTATTATGGACTTTTTTTTTGTTAGCTGAAATGGCTGTACTAGAACGTCTCTGCATCCGGGGAATCCGAAGTTTCAGTCCAAATGAAGAAGAAAAAGTCAAATTCACCAGACCTTTAACTCTAATCCTTGGACAAAACGGGTGCGGCAAAACCACTCTTATTGAGTGTCTTAAATTTGCTCTTACCAACGAATTACCAGCTGGTACCGATGGAGGAAGAGGATTTTTAAACGATCCAAAACTATCAAACAAAAGCACTGTCAAAGGTTATGTAAAACTCCAATATAGAGATGCTAATAATAGTTCTATAACTGTAGCAAAATTTGCCGAAGTTACAGTAATGGCAGGTGGAAAAATGAGATTCAAGAGTATGAATCCAACTATTCGTTGGGAAGACGATAAGGGAAATTTTGAAGATATTTCTGGAAGATGCGCCGATATAGATCTATATTGTGCTCAGAAACTCAATGTGTCCAAAGCGATAATTAACAATGTAATATTCTGCCATCAAGAAAACTCAGCATGGCCTCTAGAAGAACCTAAAAAACTGAAAGAACGTTTCGACGAAATTTTCGGTTCAACAGAATACAATAAGTGTGTTGACAGGCTAAGGAAACTTGTAAAAGAAAAAAGAACTACGCTTAAAGTTCTTTTTGAGACGCTCAAGTACAAACAGCTGGCTAAAAAGAATACTGAAAAATTGAGGGAGGCTTTGAATGAGAAAGAATTACGTTTGGAGGATGCTGTTAAAAATATTGATGAAAAGAAAAAAGACATTGAGCCTTTGGAAAAAAGGCTGAATGAAATAAATGAAGTGGTTGATACTTTAAGTTCTACACATCAGAAATTAACTGGATTGGAAACAACATTGAAAGGTTTGTATACTTGGTCATTTCTTGATAAATGTTTAGTTGTCAAAGTGCAAATGTAATCAAGGTTTTCTTTTTCTTATTCTTAATCTTAAAATATTCTGTTCTAAATTTAGGTATCTTGGAAAATCAAGAAGCTCTGAAGAAGCATATGGATGAAGAGTATGATGGTACCGACGAACAATTAAACAACGATATAGAGAATTTCAGCAGTTTCCAAGAAGGAGCCAAAAAGGAAATATTGTCAAAGGAAAGCAAAAAGGATGCCATTGACAAGAAAGTTGAACAAATCAACCAAATAATTCAAGAACGCCAAGTCGCTCTTGGTCAGTTAAAACAAGAAGAACACCAGCAGAGAAAAAGAGAGGAAGAACTTAAAGGATTAATAGAAAAATGCAAAGCAAAACTTAAAATTGAAACTGAAGAAGATGAGTCTATGGAAGATATATTTTATAAACTGAATGCGGCTTTGGTGAAGCGTGATTCAAAATTCAAGGATCATCAAAAATTATTGCAGCAAGAAGAACAAGAATTGCAAAAAAACATTGATAAAATCAGGGATGGGTTTGCCGCTGCCAGGGAGAGTCGATCTGCAAACGAAAAGCTATTAAAAGAAACCAGCGCAAAATTACAAGAAGCCAAATTGAAATTAGAGCGTTTATCATTTTCCGATTCTCAAATTGAAGTCATTGAAAAAAGAATGAAAGAAACCGAGGAAGCTTTGGCTAAAAAGAAAGCTCATTTTAAAGAAGAAGAAGAAATGCAGCACATTGAAGAGTTGGATGAGCAAATCAGCAAAAAGGATCAGACTCTAAGTAAACTGGAACGTGAGTTTAGGACTCTTCAACAAAATTATGTGACTGATCAAAAAATTGAATCTGAAACAAATGTCACACATGAAAAATCCGGAGAAATCATCATGATAAAAGAAAAACATAGACAAGATTTTCAAACATTATTTGGACAAGCGGTACCTCAAGAAAAGTTTCAACAATCAGTGCAAAAAGTTCAAAAGACTCTGGAAGAAGAAGTAAAATCTCTTACAAAAAATATTACAAATTCAGAAAAGAAAGTATCAACTTTAGAGTCAACTGTTAAACATTTAAATTCAAAGTATCAAAGTCAACTAAATGAATTGAAAAGTGATAAAGCTAAAATCGAAAGTGTTTGTAAGGGAAGGCCATTTTTAGATGTTTTAAAAGAGTCTTATAAAAACAAAGAAATTTTCCAGAAAGACAAAGGAGCTTATCGTTCAGCCAAGAATTTATTGGAACAATTCATCAGTTCCTTTCAAAATGAGACGCCTTGTTGTCCAATTTGTAGTACAGACTTTTCTTCACAATCCCAAAAACCCAAAGTTTCAAGTGTAATACTAGCTTTACGAAAAAGAATTGAAGATCTACCAAGCAAAATAACTGAAGTTGAAGCAAATTTGAAAAGGGAAGAAGCCAACTATAGTAAGCTGCTACAATTAAAGCCTGTCCAAGACAATATCCAAATGCTTGAAGACGCTAAGATACCCCTTTTAGAGGAAGAACTTCAACAGACAAATGAACAGTTAGAAGAAACCAAAATAGATCTTGGTTCTTTGGTAAATGATTTAATTGAACCACAAAATAAAGTTGAAATTTGCAGAAAAATTATGTCTGATTGCGTTTTATTAGACCGTTTAAGCACGGAATTGAAAAGAACTGAGGATTCTCTTAAAAATTTAAAAAGAGAATTAGTTACAGTAGCTTCCAATCGTACCTTACACGAAACTGAAACTGAACTATCTAAAGTTAAAGCTGAACTATCAAATTTACGTAGACAATATAAAACTAAAAGAGACTTTTATGATGAAACTAAAGATAGTATTCAACGTTTGAATGGCAGATTGCAGACTGAAATTCAAAAAAAACTGGAAGTGCAAAAATCTTTACAAGAGCAACCAGTATTTCAAAAACAAGTTGAGGATTGTACAAAAATTATTTCTAAGGTGAAAGCTGAAAAATTGCAGTTGGGAGAAACTTTTGCTGCTTTAGAAAAAGAGCTTTTGGAAGCTGAAAAAAATCGCTCCCAAAAAGTTGAAGCTAACAAAAAGTCTTTGGACGAAGATAGATCGGATGTGAGCGCAAGCAAAAGGCTCGTTGATGATGCCGAAAAACTACTTGGAATTATCAAAAAATATGAAAATGGTGACAGCGTAACAAGGCTGGAAAATGTTTCAAAAGAGCTGGAAGAATGTAAGAATAACATAAAAAGACTAGAAGAATCCAAAAAAATCCTTATAAGCTTCATAGAAAAGAAAAAAGCAGAATTAGCTAGTCAAGAAAGCAAATTTAGAAATTTGAACGATAATAGAGATTTGAGAGCAAGCCGAGTGAAAAGTAAGGAAATTGAAAGCCAGATTCAAGAATTGAGAAAAAAGATTGGGAATCATAATAGCAAGTCTATTATTGAAGAACGTAGAAAAGTGATTGATAGAATTGATAAAGTACAGACGGATATTAGTAGGAAGAAGGGAGAAATGGATACACTTAAGGTAGGATAATTTTTATTTTATGATTTTTTTTTAATAATGTTTAGGTTATTTGTCTTAGGAATTGATCCAAACTAACAAACAAGAACTAAATAAAAAGGAACACAGAGAAGCGGCAATCGAATACAGAAAAACCTACTACGAGTACAAAGTAGAAGAAATGGCGATATCAGACTTGGAAGTTTATACTGGGGCTTTGGAAAAGTCCATCTTGAAATTTCACCAGGAGAGAATGGTCCAAATCAATTTGACAATCCGGGAATTATGGAGGAACATCTATAGGGGAAATGACATTGATTTTATTCAGATTATTACTGATGATGATATTGGAGCCACAGGTAAGAATTTTTTTTCAAATCAGACTGATCTCTCAATGATCACTTTCCAACAAGTATGCACGTATTTATGTGCTCCGCGATAAAACTAAGATTTCAGCGGTTATAGTACAGTGAAAAACTTGAAATTTTCATGAAGTGTTCGTTACATTATCGTTAATCTGTGATGTTATTTTTGTGAAAAGTGGCCAACGCAAACAGTCCTTAATTAAAATATTTACCAAAATCAGTTTTGCACAAAAAGCCTCAAAAAAAGATAAGCTCACCGCCTGTTATCTTTTAAAGTCAACAATAAATTCTTTTTATGATTCATGAACATTTAATTCGATAAATATGATTTTTTTGTTTGTTTATTGTTGTTCCTCCAGCTCATAGTTTTTGTTTTTTTTTTTTATTTTGGTTAAACTGGCAAATGTTTATGTTTACATCTGGGTGTTTTGGACTTGACCTATTGTCTGGGATTTTTCTTCGTTTTCCTGGTTGGCCCTCTTGGATTTTTGCTTTCCCCTTAGGGTAGTATTATATTACAAAACATGTCGCAGAAGTTGCCATCAAATGGAATATGCAGCAAATGCCTGTCCAATTGCATATTTAGAGTCAAAGCCGAGAAGTCTGAAGGCACTGAAGAACTATTTGGCTACCCATGCGATGGCTGCAAGACGATCTCATGTAAGAAATGCGAAAAATGGGGTGCAACTGAGATAAGGTTCATCCAAAAGGTATCAAGAAAAATTCCTTACTTCTGCTCGGAGTGCGCGCAGCAGAAAACTGGAGCGATACATGAACAACTGGAAACTGCGAGTAGGGAGAATAAAGACTTGAAAGTAAGAATGGAGTTGATGGACAGGGAAATCAGCGAGAAGGAATCAGAAATACATTCTTTAAAGGATGAAACTGAGATTTTAAGACAGGAAAGGGCAGAGATGGAAAGTTGTCTAAGGAGAAAATTAAGAGCTACCGTTGATTTTGAAGATGAGGTTTTTGCAGTCGAGGAAAATTTGCAAAGGGAAATCAAACAACAAAGTTCAGAGCTAGAAGATCATAAAACTACGATCTATAATCTAAAAAAGGAAAATTTAGGCCTGACAGAACAAATTCAGGATTTACTTGCTAGTGCCGAAGAATATAAGGGGGGGGTTAGAGACCTGGAGAATGAATTGGATAATTTGTCTAGCGTGAAGAACGATATGTTACAAACAATAAGAACACTAACTCAGGATAACGAAATATATATGAGGGATTATAAAAAGAGCCAACAACAATTGTTTCTACTACAGAATTCAGTAGTGAACATCAAAGATCCGAGTCCATCAGTATCCTATGTATCTACGCAATGTAATTTACTCGAAAACACAGTGGAAGATCAAAAAGGACTTAAGGATACTGACACAGAAAAGTCTAACGAACAACGTAAAATTCTTATAATAGGAGACAGCACCATTGTGGATCTATATAAGGCATTGGAAAGGCAAACAAATCTAGAAAGGTATAAAATAATCAGTATTGTAAAACACAACGCTCTACTAGAAAATATTACGGAAAATATTTGCGACCTGACTAAGGACTTTACAAGGAGGGATTTCGTCATTGTCAGTGGGGGACAGAAAAATGCGCTATGCGGAGGTAGAGTTAACCTGACTGTTTTTCAATCACTATCACAGATGTGTGAGTATACAAACTTGATATTGTTTTCTGTGCCTCTTTGGGGAAACAGACGTGTTTTGAATGGATTTATCGATCAAGTAAATATTAAGATGTATGAATTTGTTCAGAATCAGTTAGGAGGCAATGCTCAGTATGTAGGTTTGAACTCTTTTTTAAACTCTTCCTCCTTTATTTTTCGAGCAAACACCTTAAAATTTATAGGAAAAATAAAGATAGCTGAAAAAATAACTCAACTTTTATCACAGCATTTTTTAATGTAAATTACAGCATCGACAGAAAAAATTTAATTAATAGGGAACCAAACTTTAAAAGGTCAAGTGATTCATCCTTCATATTTCTGCTTAATATTCAGTCGATTAGAAACAAAACAGACGAATTGTCTATATTTCTTGAAGACCAGGATGGCCCAGAAATCTTATTGATTACCGAACATTGGTTAAAACCTTATGAACCATGTTATGTTCCTGGTTACTTGGCGATTTCCATTTTTTCACGTGAAAATTCAATTCACGGTGGTACTGCGATTCTGGTGAAACAAAATGTCTGTGATAATTACAATATTAGTTCAGTAACAAAATATAATGCGCTTTTGGTCGAGAAAGAATTTGAATTCTCTATAGTATATATAAATAATTTTAATATGTATGTAATATGTATCTATAGACCTCCGGGCTGTGATTTGACAATTTTCTTTCAGCGACTTGACAGTCTTTTGTGCAATTTTCCCATTAATTCTAAATTAGCTTTGGGAGGTGACCTTAATATCAATTATGCTGATAAATCGTCCTTGCACACTCAAACCTTAGATAATATATTTGCGTCCTTCAGCTTACAAATGCAAGTAAACAGTCCCACGCGCATCACCAAGAATTGCTCGTCAATTTTGGATTATTTCTGTACAAACTTTGATCTGCATGATGTAAGTGTTTTGTCTGCAGCGCTGTCTGACCATGAGGCTGTTTTGGTAGGGTTCTCGATTAGACTGGATCAGATGGGAGAGAAACGGAGAATGGGTAGAATTTTTAGTGCAAAAAATTTTAGAACCTTTGGGGAGCAATGCGCAGCCGTACAGTGGGACCACATTGCAGGGTCTTCCGATCCATTGAGTGCATTTCATCACGAACTAACTGACCTTTTTAACACAATATTTCCTATAAAAAAAATAAAAATAAAATCTGAAAAAGGTAAACCATGGGTAACATCTGGAATAAGAGTCTCTTCTAGAAATTTGCGCTGTCTGCACTATATCCGTAAATTTAATATTAACAACAACTTTTTTGTGTCTTATTTTAATTCATATAGACGTATTTACAGAAAAACCATAAGGAATGCCAAGGATTTATATTATAAACATCGTTTCACACGGGCTGGAAACAGCACAAGGGAAAACTGGTCTGTCATAAATGATTTAAGAGGCAGACACGCCTCATGTCCTAAAGCTGTCAACATGGAGCCTGATACTCTGAATGCTTTTTTCCGTTCTGTGTTCGAGAGAACAACATCCAATACTACAAGTAGTAAAGATCCTTTGGATTATCTTGGGGAGTTCAATGTTCCCTGCAGTTTCTACTTTCACCCCGTCGATGTGATTGAATTAAAGGAAGTGTTTTCGCAGATCAAGAATAGGAATTCTTCTGGGTATGATGGAATGTCCATTAAGGTGTTTGAAAATCTCTCAGAATCTGCTTTGCTTTCACTCGTAAATGCGATTAACGTATCTTTCGAAACTGGAGAATTTCCATCCTGCTTGAAACGGTCGGTTGTGATTCCTTTGCACAAGGGGGGTAATTGCGAAGATCCATCTAATTTCCGCCCTATATCGCTACTTGCCACACTTTCGAAGGTCGTTGAGAAGCTAGTGAAATCGAGGCTGGTTCATTTTCTATCGGCATTTAATGTGATAACACCCTCTCAGTTTGGTTTTCAAGCATCTAAGAGTACGAGTGATGCAATCTTTTCGCTTCTGGAAACCCTTTACACAAGTCTGAATGGCGGAGATGTGGCTGCAGCAGTGTTTTGCGACTTTTCAAAGGCCTTTGACTGCGTAAATCGCGAAGTGCTGCTGCGGAAACTTCACCGCTGTGGTATACGGGGAAAGGCGAATCTGTGGTTCAAGACATATCTCTCCGAGAGGGTTCAGGTGGTGAAAGTTGGCGATGATGAGTCGGCTCCCTTGGTATGTCACTATGGTGTACCGCAGGGATCGGTGTTGGGACCTGTTCTTTTCTTGGTATATATTAATGACCTTGCGATGGTGAATATTCGGGGTAAGTTCACTCTCTTCGCGGACGACACCACTCTTCTATGGCATGCGGAAACAGGCGATAATCTCAGGGAGATGATAACTACGGATTTACCAAAAATCAAAAGTTGGTGTGATGCTAATTCTCTCAGCTTAAATATCGCTAAAACTAGTATACTTACTTTTGGTTTTAATTTTAATGACTTAATGATAAATGATCAACAAATCGAAAATGAACCAGTCACTAAGTTCTTGGGCCTTCTCATAGACAACAAACTTAAATTTGATAGACACATTTCATCATTGAGCTCTAGGCTGGCCTCTGGTTGCTTTGCTATTAGAGTAGTTTCCAACGAATTGGGTACCGCGACGGCAAGGATGGTGTATTTTTCACTTTTTGAATCGCACCTTCGATACGGTATAACATTTTGGGGCTTTTGTAATCAACAATTGTTTAATTCAATATTTGTTCTGCAGAAAAAAGCAATACGATTTATGTGTCGGGTGGGAGTGAGGGAACATTGCAGACCACTGTTTATTACACAGGGGATATTGACAGTAGTGTCTTTATTTATTCTTGAAACAGTGTGTCTGATTCACAAAAAGTCGTGTTTTGAGGTCCCTGACCATTTACATAACACAAGATTAAATGCAAACCAAAATCTACGTCTCCCTATTCCCAGAACGACACTTACAAAAAAATCCATTATATATGAAGGCCTCAAGATGTATAACCATTTGGGCACTGAATATAGACAATTGCCATACTCGCGGTTCAGGAAGAGGGTAAAGAGTGTATTGATGGCAAGGTCTTATTACAGCCTGGAGGAGTATTACGATGATTGTTTGTAGTATTACGATGATTGTTTGTAGCGAGGTTTGCAGCTATTGATTTTGTCAAGTACTTTCATTTTAATGTTCTGTTTTCATATGTATTTTTGTTTTTAGTTATAATAATTGTATCTATTCTTACGGCTGTTTGTTATTTTAATTTTTGACATTTTAATATTGTAGTTATTATTTTATTATTGTACTGTTATTACTCTTACGGTTGTTTGTGAATTTAAATTTTGACATTTTATTATTGTGTTTATTGTTTTTTTCTTATTATTGTATTTTTCTGCTTTGTAGACAAGATATTTTGCTCTTTTTACAATAAAGCATATTTTGATTTGATTGATTTGATTTGATTTGAATCTGAAATAGGTGAATAATTTAAATGTCCACAGTCTGTCAGTATCAGGTTGTAACAAGTGACATATCAGACGAAAATGTTAAATTTATTTGTAAATATTTTTATTTTTTTGCAAATAGTGGTAGTCATTGATGCTTCAGTTAGTTTATCGACCAACAAACAGAATGATGATTTTTTGCAAGCTTACGCTGACAAAAACGCAAAGAAAACTGTAGAAAAAGACCCACGAAAATTGGAAGATTCTCAAATGAACTCAACCAACTTTGAGATAAAAGCAGTGCAATCGAAATGTTTGAAAAAAAAACCGTGTAAATGTGAAAACTCCTTTCAATGTGATACAAAGGAAGAATTTTTATTGAATAATGATGCACGGAGTAAATATGAGGAGCAAGCAGACGAAGCCACTCTGGAAAATTGCTACAAAAAAATTTCTTTTATTTTAAAAATCAAAAACAAGGGCATTACGAATTGCAATCCCCAATATATAGTCATTGACCACATTTACGATTCTATGACTGGCTATAAACAAACCCTGCTCAATCCTTATGTATTGAAAGTAACACAACAACCCGTATATCAAGATTACGAGTTGACTTATGAACATATCATTAACGCAGGACCAACTGAAAAAGTAGTCAACAAAAAAAATGCAGGCTTTTTGGGATGTAATTCAGATTCAATTAAACCCATATGTACACAACATAACATCGAAGAAGTTCCATACAATACCGGCTACTGTTGTTCCTGCTTGTCAAATAGAAACGCATTCGAGGAAAAATCCATGGAAGAGGCCAACGAATTATTGACTTTACCTTTAATCGAAGATAATCCTAATTTGGACTTGAAGAAAATCCCCGATATTAACTTGGAACCATCTCACCTTTTTAAACGTGTCGCTCAAGATTGCGACGGCGAAGTGCCTCCAAACGCTGATCCAAAAACGTTTCACGACAGCGCCCATTGTCTGGAATTTTCAGGATTGTGGTACTCGATTTATAGAATCGGTCGTCCACAAATAGAACATTCAATAAAAATAGAAATTTTTGAAAAAATGGGCTGTGACGAGGATGGTCCTTTGTGGAACAAAATAACAAAAGGTGGTTTTCCTATATCTATTGGAACTGGTAATACACGTTATAATAGTGCTGATAAGAAAATTTTAGCCTATTACGAGGTTCATAAACAAACGGAAAATGATTTTGATTTGGAATATAAAACCCATATGTTGTTGATACCTGAAAGTGCCGATAAACAAGAAGATTATCAAGAAATGCTTGGAGGAGCTGAAGAGTATTTGGTGGTTCCAGAAAAAGATATTGATATAAGTGGAAAGACGTGTAACAAAGCTGGTGTAGGTTATGAAGCCTTTATGGAACAGCCAAAAAAATGCGATAATGTTCCTAATTCATGCTTGAAAAATCAGCCAAGTCATATGTGGAAGCACGATCATGACTTGGAAGCTAATGGCAAAAAGGGCTGTTATTTTCTCAAATATTTTGGTTGTCTTCCTGAAAATCCTGTGAGAATAAAACCGTGCAATAGCAGCAAGAAAATTCAAGAAAAACGTCTTTATATGAACTATTTGCCTTGTGTAATGAGCATAGTTAATGTTGAATTTGCAGCTGATATGAATACGGCGTTAAAGCCTGATTCATTAGCAATTATTACAGAAGCATACATGGAAGTTTTAGATGGAAAAAAAGCTACAATAACAGCCAAAATTTTCAATTCTGGTTTAATAACAAGTATATTTTATGTAAGAGTCAGTACTTGTCCCATAGAATTACCTGCAAGTTTTAGCAGTCTAGCTACTCAGCCTGTACTGATAGCTCCTCAACATCATCATATATTTACTTTGGAAATTTATTGCGAACTGCCAATTAAAAGCTTCTATTGTTCTTTAGAAGCATTCAATATGAATCAGCAACTAGTTGCTATAAGAAGAATTAGATTTGAAAAATATGACAGATGTATTTGTGTATGGCATTGTCAATGTACGTGTTTTCTTGCAGATTCTGGCTTAAAATGCATTTCTTTGGAACTACAGCAATATCATGCTGCAGGATTTCAGGGAGGAATGCCGACGCCAACTAAAGTAATTAATTATTCAGATTTGGATGATAATTTATCGCTAATTCTTCATATAATTTTGTACTTTTGCCTTACGCTTTGGTATATGGGACTTTTCAAAGCGATTCTGGGATATTTTATATTGCCCATTGGACTATGGGGGTTAGACCTAATCTTGGATCTACCCAAGAGGCTTAATTATTATTATGAGAAGGAATTGAAGGACGAAAAAGTTGTTTATGATTGTGACGGTTGGCCTGTTCATCCAGAAACAGGCAAAAAAGTTAATAATATGGCACCGCCTACGCAATTCGCTATGAATATGGTGTTCTTTTTCGTTTACCCTTTTGCATTGCTTTGGAATATGTGCAAAAATATTTTGGGCCCTAAAACTGTAACCAGCACCAGTGATTTGGACATATGCCAATGTAAGGCCAGCCAAATTAGTCTAGTGGAAAATCGTGGCTTACAAAACAGTTTAACGAAAAAGAGCAGCAGCGAAATTGGAAGGAGAAATCAGAAAGTTGATTTGAAGGATTCCGATAGAGGACAGTTTAGTAAGAATATTGATGAAGAGGATGACAATAAAAAGAAAAAGAGTGGATGTTTTCCTAGGCGATCGAAACATTAATATTATTAACTTTAAGAATATTATTTTTTACTATATTATATACATGTTTTCTTGATTGTGTGTTATTATTTTTTACTATTATCAGGTACCAAACGAAGATCCTACTCATACAAAGTGGTCCAAATGAAGAAAGGCAACGAACTAGAAATGAGAGGCAGATGCAGCGCCGGTCAAAAAGTCTTAGCCTGTCTAGTCATCAGGATGGCATTGGCAGAGACTTTCAGCGCCAACTGTGGAATTCTAGCTTTGGACGAGCCCACTACGAATTTGGACAGGGACAATATTATGAGTCTCAGCGACGCTCTATCGAGAATAATCAGTGTACGTGAAAAACAAAAAAGCTTTCAGCTTTTGATTATCACTCACGACGAGGAATTTTTACAGACTTTGACTAGAGATCAGAGTGTTTCTCGTTATTTCAGAGTCTACAGGAACGCTGATGGGTTTTCGCAAATTAAAAGCGAAATACTTTAAATGTTGAGGATGGATATTGAACTTACATTTACAGAAATTTCATGTGTTGCATTAATAATAATATACTATGTAAAAATTTGTTTCACAGTAGGTTTCAGTTTCAGTTATCTATCAAGTTTTCTAGGATTTAAGTCATTATTTACTAATATAGTTTTCTCATATAAAATACAAAATCCCATACACATGCAACATCAGGTATAAATAAAAACAACACATAAGTACATTTGTTTTCCAGAAATTTATATTTTTCTACTTATATTAAGATATTCCCAAATGAAAATGCACATAGAAGTGTATGTTTTTGTTTTCAAAACGCTTTATAAAAGTAGCGTTCTTATTTTATTTTTATGCACAGTTAAGTGACATTAGAGGAAATACATAGTTTAGTTGAAATATCTTATTTGTTAAAAATCATTAGTTTTTAAAAAGGAATAGGGATTGGGTTTTATGTAAATTCGTTGGCATTATTTTGTAAATTCCCCAGTTTATGTATTTATTTTTATTTTGATATTTTCACTAGTTGTTCGTTTATTTAGTACGTTAAGTTTTCTTTAACTTAGAACTTGTTCTGTTTATTAGCTGTTGCATAGCCTATCATTATGTAAGAGTATGATAGTGCTATCATAATCTAGAATTTGGATTTTTTTTGTTCAAACGTTAAAATAAAGTATTGGGTTTTTAATAAATGTCTGGTTTTTTTTTTCTTCTATTCCACATATATTTTGCCTGAAATTTAATTCCTACGAATCTATAAGCTTCAATGCAGTTTCAAAAATTTCAACTTGATAATTTTCTTAAAGGAGGATGTCACAACGTAACCTGCGGGCGTACGTGGGGTTCAGGTAGAGAGACACTTGCTTGGTTATATATATTGAATATACCGGGTAGGACACAAAAAACTTTCCACCCAGGTTTTCTCAGATGTTAGGTGTTTAATCAAAAATCGCTCAGATACGTCAATTTTTGTTTTTTGGGGGACACATTTTATTGGTATTTTCACCCCTACCTGTGAACCCCTAAGTGGGGTTGACATGTACCCACAAAATTTCAAATGAAAAGGGGGGTCGAGTGATACGTCATTTGATAGCTATTTTGATTAAGATTATATCCCCGAAGTTTCAAGTTGCTACTATTTACCCTGTCGAAATGGCGGCTTGTGAAAGTTAGGAAAAATCAATGGAAAAATGCTATGTGGTTTTTACCTGTTACCTACGCATAGGTGTGACAGGTAAAAATTATACAGCTTAGATTATCGAATGTAATACCACAAGAGGTTACAGGATTACCGGATAATACTTTTACCTGTCACGAAACGCGTTACGCAGCAACACCACGACTCCGAAGGAGGAGTGGTGTTGCTGGTAACGCGTTGAGTGTCAGGTAAAAGTATTAAGTAATCCTGAAACATCGAGTGGTATTCAAAAGGTTATACAACGAACTAAACTTCAATACTTTATCAATCTTTATAATCATTAATGACAAATTGACAATATTGCCACCAAGCGCGATAATCCCAAAAGGCTTATCACTTTTTAAGCCTCTCGTGTCATATGGGAATAATGTACAGTGAGTTGTATAATCGAAAAAAAGCATTTATCCTAACTTTGACATGCCGCCATTTCGGCAGGGTTAATAGTAGCAACTTAAAACTTCGGTGATATAATTTCAATGAAAATAGCTCCCAAATGACATATCACTCGAACCCTCTTTCCATTTGAAATTTTGGGGGTACATGTTTCCCCCACTTAGGGGTTCACAGGTAGAGGGTGAAAATACCAATAAAATGTGTCCCCCAAAAAACAAGAATTGACGTGTCTGAACGATTTTTGATTAAACACCTAACACCTGAGAAAACCTGGGTGGAAAGTTTTTCATGCCCCACCTGGTATAGAATAATATTACCCTAGAAATAATACCATGACGTCTCTTCTACAGAGGGACGTACTACTTAGGCCACTCTGTATTATGTACACTCTGTACACTTGATGTGACTGAAGACTGAAGCTGAGTTTGAGACAAGTGCAGTAGGGCGTTTCCCAATAAAGGTAGTTTGCACTGGACCTAGTCTGCTGCGTTCAATACTCCCAAAAGGGCATTTCCCAATAATGGTAGTTTGCACTAGGAGGAGATTTAGCTAGAGGGGTTTTCCCAATTGAGGTACTTTGCACTAGCTTTAAGCTGATTTATAGTGTCAGTATTAGTAGGTAACAGTCAAATATCAAAACACGGCCGACTGTAAAGCCATTTATAGTTCACTTACCAAACATCAGTAAAACTTAAGAAATGGTTATTTTTATATCTGTTTCTTAAGATTTTACTGTTATTTCACTATTACTGATGTTACTGATACTGACACTATAAATCTAGCTTTAGTCTGCCGGTAATGGATCTCTGCGCGGTATTTATACCAAATCAATGCTGACTCGTCGACACACTTTGATAAAATTGATGTAGAGTGGTATTTACTTAAGTAGTTGACATATAAACACACACTAGAGTAAAAGAGATAAATTTATACAATGGTAATTATTGAAAACAATTTTTATTTTATTTTACACAAATCACAAAAACAGAAATAATAGTATTGCAGTTTTGTCTAGATATTAAAGGACATATATTTAAATTTGTTAGTGATTCTTTAGCATCCTTGTTCGTTTAATAAAGAAAACAATACGATGAATATGTAACTGTCACCACTAACAAACCTTAATATATTTTCCCTAGTTTATAACTAGTATTATTAATATGAAACTAGAAATATTTTAGACTAATAATTTTTAGATTTTTCTATAGCTCTTGAACCAAGACAAACATGCCCTGATTCATTTGCAAATGTTTCTACAACTCAATAAAAAAAGTTGCACTTTTTCTTTATAGAATCATAGAAACATGAATAAAATATTTTCTTAAATTCTACTAATATAAATATTTTGTTCATTTAACTTACATTATAGAGACTAGGATTAAGCGAAGAAAAATCACCTAAAGTGAACATACATGATATGACCATAACCGCCAATAATTAATAAAAAAAATAATAAAACCATCAAAATGTTTTTGAGGCATTCAATAGAGTACAAAAAAAAACAATAAAATAACTAATAAAAAGAATAATAATACCTATTATATAGATTTCCTAACAAAGTGCCATAAAAAGTATAGTAAATACATATAAAATTTGAAAATATATTAAAACAAAAATAATAATAATAATTATAGTGGAATGTATAATATCTTTTTCTACAATATCTTAACTATAAAAAATTATTTTCTCACAAGCTACATCTAATTTAGAGCTTTTAGAGTAGAGGCCTCAATGAGTGACAATGAAAATCAGACCTTCTTCACACATAAAGGCCTAGCATAAATGGTCCATAATGACTATAATAATAAAATTTATTGCTTCTATTTGTAATACAAATTATTACAATGTGGATTAAAGTGTGTAGTATTTTAGAAAAAAAAAATATCAAAAGGCACTCTTGGACGGAATGTGAGTATTTTAAAATGTACCAGATACAATTTTGATCTGAGATTCTCACTAGAAATCAAATTTCTCGAATGTAATGAGGAATATTGTAAATATAATGAATTTGAGACTTCATTATTGACTGAAAATACCCCAGATATTGACATAACAAGCATATAATCTTGATCTTGATCAAAATTAAGTTCCAAATTCAAGAATTTGTTGAGATTTCTTTGACAGCACTTTTACAAATCTGATGACAAAGAGCTTATTTTTCATTTTACACCACATTACTAACATATAACACTAAAATAAAAACTATTGCAATTCAATTAAATGATAACCATGCAAAAATAATGTATCTTTGATTACATAAATACAAATTATATTTGGTCCAAATGGAAAAGGAATGTATATTGATAAATACAAAGTGTTTAAAAATTATGTCTTTTTTCATGCAAGATCTTCAAATATACTGTATAAATAGGTATTCCTCCTCCGAAGAAGATCTTTGATAGAAGAATCAATCAAAGGCATAATTTCAAAATACTTTGCATTACACGTTGAGATTCTATAAATATAAAACATTGCACTTGAAAACAATAAAAATAATAACAAAAAAATATATATATATATACAGCATTCAGAAGCTTAAATAATGAATTCTTATGTAATACAATGTATTATTTTTTGATAAAAAAAAGAACAATTTTGAGATCTAAGCATACAAACGCTCATAAAATAAAAAACAGTGTCACTCGTCGCAATCCCTGTAAAAATGGAAATTGTAGACGACGAATTCCGCACCTAATTTGGTGTCAGATAGAATGCAGAGATTCTAAAACAGAAAAAACATTATTGGCACAAACAATTTTTGACATCTTACCTCTTGATAACTATTCAATCCAGCTCTGTAAGTCATGACTTTGGATTGGAAATCGGCCATGTCCACGTCAAATGTCACGCTATGACCTCGGTCATAGTGACTGGGCGTGGTCTGGTCTACTTTGTGAGCTCTTTTGGCCTCGTCATTGTAGATGGTAGGAGGAATGTACGGACACTCGTGATACTTGACGTCGTTGGGACAATTGTGGATTTTTCTATCTGTTAACTGACTGAATCTAGAAGAAAATGTGATAATACATATAATTATTTCACTAGGTTGTCATCGAAATAGCTTTATATTTCACAAAGTAGTTTTCCTATTGAAATTTGGAAGGAAGAAACTTTTACTTTTTTGTATTGAAAAGGACATTTCTGAACAATAGTTAATGAAAATTCTGTATTGAAATAAGTTTGGAAATGACATTGTAGAATAGGCAAATTATTATTAGAATTGTTAAATAGAAAAATTAGGTTTCCCTGTTGAATTATAAAAATTTCTTTTATATCCTACTGAACTATTATCATCATGTTATAATACCTTGATTACAATAATTAAAACAGGGTATTAACTCACGCGCGGAATTTAAGGATTTCATAACTCCCAAAGGGAGTTAAGGATTTCCATAACTCCCGCTTTTACCTTGAATAGGTAAAACTTAGAGAAAAAATATAAATGTTGGTTTATGGTTTATTCCTTTATAAAAATAGACAAAATACAGTAAATCCAGTAGGATATAAAATTATCACGGGCAATTAGTGTCCCTCGAGGGGCACAAACTTTGCCCTGGGGTATTAACACCCTCATAAATCCCTTGATACATAAATATCTATTATTTCATTTTATAACGTTTTGTAGCGGCACGCCTTCGCCATGGTGTACAGAATCTAACTTGAAATCTAGAAAATATTGTGTTATTCGGGCAAAGATTATCGCGTTTATTCTGGATTTTAGAAGAATGGATTACGGATATATAAAGGCGGGTATTATAGGATTTTTACGCTATACGTATTTAGGATGACGTCACATTTAGTAAATTTCTACTGCCAACCTAACAAAACTAAAAGTACTTTTTAACGCATTAAAAGTAGGGGAACTTCAGATGTTTTTGGTTGGCAACGGCACGCGACGTTGCATGACTTGTATAAACATTTTAATTTCGTTATTTTTAGCTGCCGTCAGAATTATTGACACATGACATTCTGGTAAATTATAAGAAAAAAAATGGGCATTGACAACATTGCAGAGAACATTGTCTGTCTTTTTTTGATGACGCATCCTAAATATAGGGTGTCCCAGCCGAGAGTAACCCGTTTTAAATGCTTATAACTTTTAAACTGGGTGTGCTAGCTACCTGCGGTTTGTGTGATTCAATTTCTCTTGGCCTAAAGTTTTTTTAGCCGGTTACAAAATTTTCTGAGTGAAAAAAAGAGTGAGTAAAAAAAAAATCCGTTTTTCAATATCAAAATCCTCCACTATTTTTAATGAAACACCCTGTATGTACATCACAACATCAGAAAAAAGATTCATGTTCAAAGTATCCATGTACTAATAGATATCGTCACTGAAACCTGAAGTTTTTAGCCGTGAAAAATCAAAATCGAAATCTTGGTATTTTTGCAATCGTATGCAACTTCATGTTGTAGGTACTTGATATCAGACAAACAATTTTGTAACTCTCTAGTCAGATATCAATTATTAAGTTAAAATACATTTTCCAAGAAAATTTAACGAGAGTATTTTCTATGGAATTTGTTAAATAGAGATACCTCAGTAACAGAGAAAAAAATTCAGACCATTTTCCTTAATGAACCAACGATAACAGAAACTATATACACTGATATGTTCTTTTTCCCACAGTTAAGACAGGAGGGTATTTTAAATGATATCTATTTTCAGTAGGATGGTGCCCCCACCTTTTTATTCTTTGATAGCAAAGGAATCACTAGATATGACATTTGGGGAAAAACCGAGGTGTTTCACTCATGCCAGTAGGTGTACAAATATCATACATTCATGTATATGCAGTCCATACATTCTTCTACAGTTCAAACATTCTCATGCAGTCATAATAGAGTCGCATGCAGTCATAATACAGTCGCTTGCAATCTTATTAACAATGAACTAGAGCTAAAAACTGGAATGCGCACACAGTGCCATATCTGCCAAAAAAACGAAGTCATGAAAGACAGATGCCACAACGGGGAATATTGTTTTTTTCTGTTGCTCGCTGACATATGACGTTTTCGAAAGTTTTGTCATATTTCCCTTCACAGGTTTCATCAATTGGAATACGTGTTGGAAGCAATTTTCGCCATTTAACATAATGAGTGCGACAAAAACAGGTATCCCCTCCGCAGCAGCCGCACTAGGCTTCACATTCGTCCTTATGTGTTAGCATTCCAGTTTTTGGTTATAGTTCATTGCTTATTAAAAATTGCTCCAAAAGTCAATGCAGTCAAATACAATAGTTGTATAAAATTAAGTGGATGAAACACCCCTCTGGAAAAACGGATAAGGAGAGCTAGTCCTATAGAATGGACACCTTATTCTCCTGACTTGAGAGTTCTAGACTTTTTTCTCTGGGGTTATGTCAGGGAAAGATGCGGTAATACTTTGCTGAAGTAGCCCGGATGATCTTAGGCGGAACATTTGTAATGTCATTGAAGCGATTCTCCAGGAAATATTACAAAATTCATTCAACCATTTACTGATCCATAAATGTCCGGAATAGAATGGCTAACATATACATATACAGCATTTTGTATAGTTTTATGCAGTTTCTATTGATTTTTTATTAGGCAAACATAAGTTCCAAGCTTTGATAATATGAGTTTACAAAAATACCAAGATTTCGATTTTCATTTTTCTATGTCTTCTATGTCTATTCGTACATGGATACCTTGAACATGAATCTTTTTTCTGACGTTGTGATATACAGGGTGTTCCATCAAAAATAGTGGAGAATTTCGATGTTGAAAACGGATTTTTTTTACTCGCCCTGTATAAGTTTAAAAAAAATTTGCAATCTACTAGAAAAAACTTTAGGCCAAGAGAAATCGAAAGACTCAAACCGCAGGGTCATTCTCGACTGGGACATCCTGTATAACATAAAAAACCTAGAGTTAGTAGTTTTAAGTTTAAGATTGGCTGTAATATGTTTTAGATAGATATTGTAAAAGTTGTAAGGAGTCAAGTTGCTTGAGTTAATTAGTGTCAAAGTGTGTAGTAACATGGAATAAATTATTGTTGTGTTAATTGGACTTTGATTTGGGAATAAACGAACCCAAGATTAATGTCACGCACCCCCCTAGAACCGTGACAGTATTTAACCTTCCCAACCCTTATAGAACTATAAATTTATCCTTACCTGAATATAATATTTATAAAATCATCCGGCATATATTTGGATATCGGTACCGAATAAGATAAATTATAAGAATTATATTCTCGATTCAAATAGTTCTGACCAAGTGGCGTACTGAAATTTTTCCCATGGATCATTACAGAAATTTGCTGGTCATCTAAAATTTAAAAAATATCCAAAATTTCCTATTACAACAAGCAACTAAACAACACTTACCAGGTAAATCGTTATCCACATTTGCCTCATTACTTATATCATAAGTGTCCCTTCTAGTCCGAATTTGCTTATCGATATCATTCGAATGAAACGGCTTCGATATTTTGTTCTTTTCTAATGGAGATTGAGCGTTTTGTTGTTCTTTAAAGATAGGAGGGATGCCTTTGGTTCTATTTATATTCGGAGGACGTTTTTCAGAGTAGGAAGGCTGAGACAGGTCCACTGGCGGAATATTATGAGGCGCACAACAATAGATCTAGATAAAGGACAATATATAATTTTTTTTTTAATAGAAAACTAATTTAAATTACCTGACAAAAACTTTCTTCTAAAGCTTGATTAACAGCCTGACATTCATTTGGACTACCGATAATACGAGAAAGCTGCTGTTTAGGGTTGGACTCTTGAGATATTTTGTTGATTTCTGTAGGAAAAAATTGTTACTATCCACCTAAAAACGCCAAAAATACCATTACCATCATCTCTGATATAAGAATTCGTAATTCGCTGGGGTGCATTTGTAGTCCAAGTATTATGAAATTTGGGTCCCAATGTAGGTTTCTTGGTTGATAAAATCTTATTGGGTACAGCCTCTAGGTTTGTGGTTAAAATATTTCTTTGCCTGGTCGTTTCCATTAAATAAAGCGTCGTTATTGCTGCCAAACTGCAAAAACTCATGAAATTCTGATAATAGGTAATTCATTTGACTTACCATAAAGCCATAATAAGAACTAAAATAACTATAACAACTTGTATAAATTTATTCGAACATAGTTCTGCCTCTTGCCTTTCGCAATATTTACATTTGTTTCTTTTTGAACATTTGCAATTAGTTGAATAATGGGAATTTTTTGAACTGTTCACTAAAAACAAAAACAGTGTGAAATTAAATGGGGGTTTCAATTATGTATTACCTGTACTATCAGATTTTAGGCTATCCCCTCGTTTTAGTTTGTTCAGTCTCCTGTTGATCCTTTCTAATTGATCGATTCGAGTTTCCAGATTATCAGTTACTTTGCATAATTCTTTTACCGCGCCTATATTTTCCATAAAAATTCTTTCCTAGAAAAATGTTTCTCATTTACTGGAAATACACTAATGTACTGACTAATCCTTACCTTATTCACCACTAAAAAATTATCTATCGAAGTTCCATTCTCCAAAATGAGATCGCCAGCAGGTTTAACAGCTTCTGGTAAAACCTGAGCTACTTCTTGAGCAATCACCCCAGTATCAGTATACTCGTTTCCCCTGCTCAGCTGGGCAGCTAAAATCGGTTCATACTCGTACCGGACCACTCTTAACTTTTGTACGTTTTTCAATTGCTCAGCAGTATTCAGTTCGACAATATTCTTTTTGGCTCTCATATCCGACGGTTGTATAATGTGGCCTGTAATTTTTATGTTGCCGTGTACTACAAGGGATTCGTCCGGTCTGTCTGTGTTTATTCCAACTTTGCCATTATGGAAAACCGAATCTTGTGTTTGTCCTTTTTGCCAGCACAATTCGACGTCGCTTTCAAATTGGCCTGGATTTGATGCCTAAGAGAATCGTAGATTGATAATTAATGAATGAAATATTAAGTTTTATGTCTTACCCGAACAATAATCTTTTGACTAGCATGGCTTACAATAGGGAAGTTTCCATTGGTAGTGTGAGCATGAAGTCCTACTACCAACTGTGAAAAAAATATATTTTACTTTGGGGTTTCAGTTTTAATGAATTAAAGACTTTACCTGGAAATACCTTTGTTCTGGATTTGGTTTCCCCTTCTTTCTCATGTTGTTCGACGTTGTTTCACTAAAATGCAGCCTGCCAACTGTTACTTTAGTTACTTGAGAATTTACTAACTCCACTCTGAAAAAGATTAGTTTTTAACTATTATAACAGTTTGATGGTTATCTATTCATAAAAATTGATAGATGATTCAGTAATTGTTCTTTGGACTCCTAATACCTAATGAGGTTGTAGAATTGAAATTTGTCATGTTCCTAAGGATATTTTTAACTTTGCAGGAGTTTAATTCAGGCAATAAAAGCCACTTCTTTTGCAGAAAATTTTAACTTCCTTTGTAGGAAGGTTTCTCAACAAATTTGTGAATAGCAAAAATATATGATGCTCAACCTTATCTTGGCTGTTTGAATCGGCATTCTTTTGAATCCTTGTTTCCTTGTTACTTACAAAACTGGATGAAAAGGCTTTTTACTTCTGTCACTCTGGCTTTGCTCCACTCTTATTGTTTGTGTGGGACAATCGTGCTTTACTCCATAAAAGTGCAGATGAAAACTCGATATTTTTTTGAGGCCTTCAGGAGTTTTCACGAACTGGGCGTCTCCTAGAAGTTGAACGTGGCAAGTTATCTGAAAGAGAAACAATGAATTTATTTACCTTGAAAGCTTAAATTTCTTCATCCAACACCTGGTATACTTATTGATTGAATTAGTATTACTATCTGACTCCTAAAACCCAAATGGGAGGCAAAAAAATACTTTTGGAATACCCATAACCAATTGCTTTTCCCTTAAGAGCTTATGACTCACTTTATAAGTCATCATGAAAAATATCAGGTGTTGGATAAATAAATACAAATTAACAACATTAAGTGTACCTGAAAATGATTCTTTTTCTGACACACAAAAGCATCATCTGCGTTTGAGAAATTGAACCCTTTATCTGCATCAACTCTGTAGTGAGGTGTAGATCTGAAATTAATATAAACTCATTTATTGTGTTAACGAGATCAAAACACACTTACAGTTCTGTTAAATTCTGATCACACAAAGTGTGCCAGTTGGCTTGCTGGAAGGCATTAAACCTAATACACTGGTACTGCGATTCAGAAAGACATGCCTCAGAAGAAGCATATTCTTCGTCTATTGAGGCCGTAAACTGCTCGGAAGGACTCAACTGGGAAGTTGAGCAATGATCTAGAAATGTCTTAAATTAAGCCCAGAAAATTATAATATAAGATATTACCTGGCTCGCTTTTTACCATAGTACTCTCCTGACTGAGCTTCCGTTTTTTAGACGCACTCTGCAAATTTGTATAAACAGTGGGAATGTTTTCCAGATTGTTTTCCAAAGCAATGCCACTTTCCAGATTGGATCTGGACATATTTTCCATGCCAGGAGTGAAAGTCAGATGCACCATATGTTTTTCTTCCTCGAAATCTTTCGACTCGTACAGGGAATGGTCAAAAGCTGGTTGTTGTTCCGATTGGACATTTGGTAAAATGATTTGTCTGTTATTGTCAGGTACATTTTCAGCAAGTATAATTCCATGACCAGATAGGCTTTCTGGTATAATTCTACTGCTTAAAATATTGTTGCTATTTCTTACATCTTGTCCAACCAATAATCTGTTATCCTGTAAAAAAAAACATTGTGTAATAACAAAATATCCAATTTTCAGATTATTCTTACTTGTAATAGACCATTATTGTCAACTAATCCATCACTATTCTGATCTGTAACTACAATGTGTGATGATAAAATAAGGTTGTCTATAGGATTGAGCATTCCTTGTTTATAAATATTTGTTGCCAAGTTAGTATAAATGTTGTCAGAAGTGTTTAGGGGGGCCTCGCATCCGTCTTGAGGACTGTACGGGTGTTCAGAACTAGAGTCTGGTGGACTATCCGGTAAAGAATGCCTAAAAATAAATTATTTAAACTTCCTAGATTAATAAGGTTGTGTTTTATTTACCCATTATTGTTGCGTTTATTTTCGACTATAACGTTGAGAAGCTTTCCTGCGGACGGATGAGCTGGCAGGTCGCCGAATGTAAAGTTTTGTGTGTTGTTGCCGTCATTGTTGATGAAATCTTCCAGCTGGGAAAAATCTATGCCTTCGTTGTCGATGCCTGACACAAACTCTGTACCCCTACCTGGAATGGAAAGTAAATATGTTATTATCAAAGAAAAAAAAATTGATAATTCACTTTGTATAAAGTGCAAGTTTTTGGTTTAAACTAGAAGTTGCAAGAAGTTGTAAGTATGATAAATTAATTCTAAACAAAGACTCAGATATGAGTTTAGAGACATTCAGGACGTTTTTCTTGTGTATCAAAAGTTTCAATTTGTCTACTGTAGGATTATAAGTAGAGGTCCTCTCTTGAAAACTCCTTAACTAATATATTTTTGATACATAGAATTGTAAGGCTTTTGCTTGAAGTTACAAACTCGCCATAACAGGTTGCATTGAAGAAGTAATAGATCTATGATATTGCAATTTGATTAATTTTTTGTTTAACTATGTTATGATGAAAAGTTTGTAGGTAGTTTATTGCTATTACCCAAATTTTTCAGATTATCTGGTATTTGTTCAAACACTTTTGAGGCCTGGTAGGAAAATCCCTGTTTGAAAAACTCACTAGTGTGAAGTGTTTGTTGTGATTGTCTAAGTTAGTAAAGGGTGTGCTTCAGAATGCAATTGTAGTTTGTCATATAAATATTTGGGCTTGTTTAATTTTAATAAGTCTATAAGGCAACACAAATGTAACCATCTTCGTTGCCGCATGTTCAGCCAACTGCTGTTCTACAGATATGGAGTTATATGTTCTTTTTTTGGAACGTGACAGGAGTATCGAACACAAGAATTCTGAATTTTTTGTAATCTTTGCGTGTCTTCAGCTCTTAGACAAGGTCCATATAAGTTCTTCATCACTATCATCTCGACTCACCTCCTCATTATCAATATTAACAATCTTCAACTTTGGTTTCTTCAGTGCAGGTATTTCGACATGATATTTATTACCTTGTTCTGCAGTTATCTGTTCTTTCAATGCTTTAATAATATTAATTGTTATATATTTTTCTAGTAAGAAGGTTATAACCTTATGATTTAGATTTTCGAAAACTTTGAAAGGTCATAACTTTTTTTCTATTATAGATAGAAAGCTGAAACTTTCGCTGAATTTTATCCCTTCCAAGGGACTGCAATCCCTGAAAATTTCAGCTCATTTGCATTTATAGTTCCTGAGATAAAATCGTGTTAAGCAATTTGGGGTGATTTATCAATTTTTCAATTTTTCTGAGAGCCTTTTTTCATAGATTTCAGCTTCAAATCTGAGAATAATGTAGTGTATGGAGTTTGGGGTATGTTGATCGACTATTAAGATACAAAATCCCGACAAAAAAAAATTAAAATTTCATCGTTTTAGTAAGAAGGTTATAACCTTATGATTTAGATTTTGGAAAACTTTGAAAGGTCATAACTTTTTTTCTATTATAGATAGAAAGCTGAAACTTTCACTGAATTTTATCCCTTTCAAGGGAATACAATCCCTGAAAATTTCAACTCATTTGCCCTTATAGTTCCTGAGATAAAATCGTGTTAAGCAATTTGAGGTGATTTATCAATTTTTCAATTTTTCTGAGTGCCTTTTTTCATAGATTTTGGCTTCGAATCTGAGAATAATTTAGTATATGGAGTATGGGGTATGTTGATTGACCATTAGGATACAAAATCTGTATCGATATACAGTGTGTCCACTTAAGTTCGCAGCATATGAGAAACTTTTTTATTATCAATTTTACGAAAAAAAGTTATTTTTCATAAAAGTTTCTGCTACATGAAAAAATACTATTAAACTACTAAAACTTGAAATAGCATGTACAGGGTGGTCAAAAAATAGAAAAATATACAGGGTGTTTCCTAAGTACGGTTCGTAACTTCAGGATGTAATTCCTTACAATATTTCGAGAAAAAAAGTTTCCATAAAAATGTGTCCTGAAATGCGTAATTTCTGAGATATAGGGTGTCGAAGTTTTAGAAAAAATCGTTTTTTAAGCTCAAAAATCCCTTTTCCATTATTTTTTTTAAATTTGGCAGGTTTGTTCGTGATAACGAAAAGTATCTTTTGACTGTAATATGACTTGCTTAATCTGAAAAAATATCAAAGGTTTTAAAAAATAGTGACATATGCCATTTCTTTTTCTACTTTTACCAAAAAACCCTGTATATTTTTCTATTTTCTCACCACCCTGTATATGCTCTTGCAAGTTTTAATAGTTTAATACCATTTTTTCAAGAAGCAGAAACTTTTATAAAGAATAACTTTTTTTCATAAAATTGATAATAAAAAAGTTTCCCATATGCTGCGAACTTAAGTGGACACACTGTATATTTTCATGCAAGTAGCTATACAAAAAGACTTTCCTTCCATATATATATTCTTGTTTCTTTGTTGGAACTTCTTATCGTGCAGATTAACATCAGGTTTTCCCGTTGATATGGCAACCGGTAAATAATACTCCGATTTATCGAACAAATATAGAATGAACAAGAATGAACTCTGTTAATGTGAATCGGCAAACTGCGTTTCATGAAAAAACCCAAGGGCAATTGCAATCCAGAATAACTACAAATATAAATTAAATATCGATAAGAAGAATAAAGCATATTTTATATAATAATTATCAATAAATTAATGCCAAATAATATTGATGAGGTTTGAAACAAATTGTTTAATGTTTATGTTTCTAATAATTGATAAACAAAGTGATCAACCTCATACATGACTGAGATTATCGTTTTTTTAAATTCAAAACTAATGATGTTATTTTAATTATTATTTTAAATGATGTTTAAAAAATAATGTTGTCCCTCTAACACCCCTGGAAAATTACTTAATTATTAGAATACATATAAGCTATATCATTGAAAAATTGATTTCATTATTTTGAGATACCCTTTGCGCCACACAAAAAAAAAATCCAATGGGATAAAGTCGGGTGCTCTTGATGTCAACACCAAAAGATTGAGTTTGTTTAATTTCATAATACCAGAAGAGTAGTTTTGTTCTCAAATTGTTCACAAGGAAATGGACAATTTAAGTAGTACTATAGAAGAATCAGTGCATTATTGAGTCCATGTTAAGCAGGAGATAATGTGAAAATGCCAAAACTATAATAGTAATTTTCCTACAAAAATGGCCAGACCATAGGTCCAGATAGTGGAATAACTGAAAGGAAAACAAAAACGAAGAAAAGAAAGTTTCTTTTCTCGACCATCTACATAGTATAGACCTGTCAGCGACCAGTAGTGGCTAAGAATAGTCAATTATTTATTTATTTATTTATTTATAGTACAGGAGGAGCTTCATATGGTACTTTTTTTCTGAACTTACCTTACAACTATAAGCAAAAAAATCTTGACTGAGAATATGGGTAAAATTTAATGGAAAAATAAATGTATGCAAGATCAATTTTGTATGATGTGTTCCAAATTGAAATAGAGTTTATTCAAATTTAAACTGATCATTGATACCTTGGACTCCTTCTACATTACTTCGATTGATCCTTGTCTCTCGACGATCATCCATATCCCAAAATTCCATAATTTTTTATGTGAAACACATTTCAAACACTTTTATCCTTACTTAAGGAATCCCCTACTGGAATTTATGTTTACGATAATTCAACTAAACTATTCCACTAATACATTAAGGACACATTTCTAGACTTTTTTTGTGTGTTATTTAGCATTTCACAGTAAAAATTAACACGACAATGATTCGTCCACAGAAAGCACCCCGAAACAATCTAAATCAAGAAAATTATATCGATAAAATGAAAATTTGTTATTTCCACCCCCGTCCTTCCTACCAGTTCCGGTTACCTAGCGACCAATCTACCGTTAAATAATCGGTTTGAGTCAAAACGGAAGAAAGTGTTCTTTCGTAGTTTTAATTGTAGGTTTTTCCATTTTATAAACCATGTAGGGAAAATTTCATTAACAGACTATTAAATGTAATACTGTAATTATAAGTTATAAGACGTCTGGTATAAATGCACAAAGTGTAGGGCTCATTATGACATTCACAAAAAGGAAAGAAAGAAATTTAGGAAGTTTTTATCTGATTATCATAAGTCAATTAATGACAACAGAGTAGCAAACTCTGCATGGGCAATTATAAATTCTGAATCCAATAAAAATAAAACTAAAACTAAAATCTCACTGAAGGTAGATGGAATGTCATTTGATAATCCTAACGCCTTGGCTCAGCTCTTTGCTGATCATTTCGATCTGCTTTTTCATCCTCTGAGTGTATACATTATTGAAAATAATGGTATCTATCCATCGCTTTTTCTGGAGCCAGTTGACCCACAGGAGATTTTCAGAATTTTGATGTCGCTCCGTAATAAGTATTCTTCGGGTCTTGATGGAGTTCCTGTCTATGTGTTAAAATTTGTAGCTATCTGTGTGTTTGAGCCTTTGTCTGATGTTGCTAATGAGTGTCTTTCTACTCAAGTATTTCCTAATGATTTTAAAAGGACTAAAGTAGTTCCAGTGTTTAAGAAAGGAAACAAACATTCAGGATATTGGAAACTAATGTCCAGTATCAGTTCTGCCTGCTGACTCTAAAGTATTTGAGAGAGTTATTTATTCAAGAATGATGAATCACCTGGTTAGACATAAGATTTTGAGCAAGCAACTATTTGGATTTATTCCTAAAATGTCCACTGATATGGCAATTTTCCATGCAATAAAATATATAACTGATCAACTAGATAAAAACTCCAAGGTTGCAGGCCTCTACTTCGATTTGTCTTAGGCTTTCGATATACACTGCTCAACAATCGAACTGGATAATTGCAAATATACTAAAATCCTCATTTAAAAAAATAGAAAATAAAAACGTGTTTTATATTATCAATAACCAGTTTATTGGTAATCAATTAACTGTTTATTGATAATACAAAACACCTTTTTATTATCTATTTGTTTAAATGAGGATTTTAGTATATTTGCAATTATCCAGCTCGATTGTTGAGCAGTGTAGTTGACCATTCACTGATGCTGTGTATACTGAACCATTATGGTGTTAGAGATGCTGCAGTGGATCTGCTGAAGTCTTATTTGTTGGGCAGAAGGCAGGATGCT